TGACCAAAATAAAAATATAAGAAACTTGAATGATGATTTATTTACTTTACCCTTAAGAGTATAACTACAATTTTCCACAACCAAACTGAATGCTAAATTTTTAGAAGTAATATCAGATTGATACAATATATAAACATTAGATTAAAACATTTTTAAAATCATGAACAAACGAAAAGAGTGTTTATACATTGATACTGGATTTGTTATTTTCATAATAGGATGATCTAAAGTATACCAATAGTTGGATGATAGTTCATCCATTATAAAACAAAAACAAATATAAAATGATCTTTTTTTAATACATATTTTCGTATGTTGCAACTGAAGATTGGATATTTTCGTATGTTGCGCCTGCAATCATTTCTAAAACCCCAAAAAAACACAGCTATTTTATCTAAAAGTTATTGTACAACAAAGGTTCGAGAAACGTGTAAGAAATTCAAGAATTGCTTGATCCTCACTCCTAAACTTTTTTTTTTGGGTGAATCTCTAGCACCAATAGTTAGCGGGATTTAGCAATTTAAATGAGAAAAAATGCCTTAAAATGGCTCAACATATAATACCATATTGTTTCAACTGGCATTTACCTCCTTCCGCGAACTCCAAAGCCTGAACGTGGACCTGGATTCCGGGAAAACTGCAACCTCAAGTAGTTAGAATCGGGATCATGTTCGTCAATTTTATAACCTGCACAATCCAACCATAAACTTAGAATCTCAACAGAAGCATCAAATGCAAACGCTCATCAATTTTTTTAATAGTCTAGGATAAGTATTAGGTAAGGGTGAACATTCGATCGAGACGAATCAAAAAATTTCGGCATAGTGTCTATATTTCAATTGAATGTCTCAACTGATAGCATTCCCTTTTGCCAAAGAAAAAAAACCCGGTTTCAGACTTCTCTTTGAGCAAAGAAAAATTTCAGCATATTATCTATATTCTTTAGCAAAATGTTGGAGTGAACCAATGTCACTCTAAAGCATTCATTATATTTCTTATAATTTTTTATGAGAAAAAAGAAAACATGTACATTTCCAGTGAGAAACTACTTCTATGAAAATCAAAATCAATGGAAGAAAAGATCACCTTGCAAGGCACTCATTGCAGTTGCTGCACAGGCAGGACTTGAAAAATCAACAAAACAAAGGATAATAGGATCTCCACCACGCTGCATTACCAATGCATGAGGTTTAAGCATTCAACAAATGCTAATGAGAATTTCCCAGCACTTAAGAAAACAGAATAAGCCACTATAAGAAAGACAAACGAGTATTTGCCAATATCTAGTTCACTTACATGTTTGTATTCTTTGCTTACTAGTCGTACTTCTTTATATCCCACAAAAGGACGAAAGATATCTAAAGCCTTGATTAAGGAATGTGAATTGACATTTCGGAAGCAAGGTAATCAAGTTAAAATAGATTTTACTAAGCATCGCAGCATTAAATAGGATACGAGCTACTTCCCTCCTTGTGCTGTCAGGAGGAAGTCCCTCAACAAATAGAGTATTGGAAGCATCTGGAGGTAGAGGTACGGTATCCCGACCAAGCCTTGACATGGGGTCGATGGGAAATTGACCGCCAAAACCAACATTTCGACCATTTAGTGCCAGATCTGGAGCAGCAGATCCAGGATGACCCATCACAGGAGGATCAGCCATTGGATGAGCAGGCATTGCACCGGCAGCCGCCCTTCCCAGCCCACCATGTGCTCTAGCTTCTCCAGAAGTAAAAGAAGAAAGTTGCTTCAAAAGCAGTTAATGAATGCTTTAGAAAACAAAAGTGGACATGCACTATGGGGGATAAATATGCATGAGTTAAAGGTTCGATGGTACCGCACTCTGGAGATAACGATCATATGCCGATCCGATTGTTTCCGTATCCTTCACAGACAGAAGTCCACTTTGATCATCATCTCTTACCAGATTATTATGCATCTCATGAGCTGGATGCAAACCAGGAGGTAGGGGATCTGTTAAAGTTGAAAATAGAACATTTATGTCAACTTTTCTCAATAAAAAATAATATCTTTCAACAATTATGCTAAGTCAAAGAAGCATATTGCTTAGACTCATTCCAAACACACTGGAAAGATAAACCACAAGGTAAATGACTTTGCAATGCCGAACAAAATCGGCAGCTAACTAAGATAAGAAAAGGAAAACTTGCTGCCACCAAGCACTATGCAGTATACACTGGCGGATGTATGTGTTCTCCAGGGTGGGCAGTGTCCACCTTGAAATCCGAATTTTTTATGTTAGTTGTCAATTTTACTGATGATGCCCATCCTGAAATTTTATTTGTGTCTGTCTCATATGAAAAAATTATGTTATTAATACATATATGCACACCTTGAAAAATATTTCTGGATCCGCCGCTAGCAGTATGCGCATTGCATACAACTTAAATTATTTTGCTTGCATACTATAAATAGTCTCTTAATTGTATTGATCAGACCAGATTCTTTGGTGATAAATCAAGGAGGAAGATGATTTTTAAGCTGTATTTTTGTTCACTCCTTATGTTGTATCTCTATCTCTCTTTCTGTTTTCTCGAGGAATATCAGTTTTCTAACATAAAGCATTCATTTCCATTGTTCAAAACAGTTTGAAATTCCAAGCGTGCTTATACATAAATTTATCTAACTGAACAAAATAACCTTTCGTCCGACGTCAAGTTTGAAGGAAATTCCACCAATCTAATCGAAAATTTTAAGAATGTTCAGAAGCAACTAAAACGCAATTGAACAAGAAATTGTAAAACATAGGCAAAGGCAAAGGGAAAGGGAAAGGGAAAGGGAAAGGGAAAGAGAGTGATTTTAAAACGGAAAAGGATCGAAGCGTACCGTAGTCAGTACGAGGTCGTTTAAGCATGCCACCTGATGACAGCATCGGAGGAGTTGGCTGCTGCCGATTCCAGTAATTATCCGACATTAGCTACTGTTTCAATCTCCCCTGCCAAAACAACGATATGTATTTGATATACAATATTTTCCCGATTGAGAAAACAAATAACGAAAAAGGAAAAGGTATTCAATAGACAGAGAAGGAATTGACCTTGGTTCAAAATTGAGGAAACCCTAGCTCGGCTCTATACTTCTTTTGTTTATTTTCGTCGAGAGTTTTTTTTTCCTATAACGAGTCGCAACTCGCACGAGTCAAAAGACTAGCAAAACATTACATCATTTTCTGTTGGCATAATACCAAAAAAAATTAAAAAAATTAAAAAACGTCCTAATCCGATCAACACATAAGAAACGAGATACTGATTAAGTACTCTAACCACATGATCAAATTGCTTACTTTGTTTATGTTAGGAAAAAATATTATTTAATTTATTCTATTTTGATCTAAATATAATTCTTTTTGTAAATTTTTAAACCCGACCTAAGAGTTATAATTGAATGAGAGTAATCTTGTTGATTATATAGGTTTACGAACGAAATTTATTTAATAAATTGTCTTAAAAACATTTGTCAAATAATTTATCAAAAATAAACTCAAGTCTCATTTTTTAAAATATTAAAAATAAATATTAAACCTCTTACGATATACAATTGAGTTACACCATATCAAGCCACATAATTATTTATATTTTTAATTTACTCCAAACTTTATAAATCACATCATAAATTTCATTTCAAATCTAATAAATTATATTATAATCTCCGAACCTGTAAACTTTAGTTTGTTGACTTTTTAAATGGATGCAATTTAGTCCATTTTAATATTAATTTTAGCTTCACAATTTACAATTGTTTCGATTTGATCTTTGCGTGTTGTTTAATTTATTTAAATTTCAGTTTTTAATTGCACTTTCGTTCAATTTAGTCCTTAAAATTATATTTTCATTGAAATTAGCCCATAATTATTTCTATGTTGTTATTTACTCCAAGCCTATAAATTACATCATAAACTTTATTTCAAACCCTATAAATTATATCATAATCTCTAAATTCTATAAACTTTTGTTTACCAACTTTTTAAATGGATGCAATTTAGTCTGTTTTTATATTAATTTTAGCTTCATATTTTACAATTGTTTCTATTTGATCCCTGCATGTTGTTTAATTTATTTAAATTTTAGTTTGTAATTTCATGTTTGCTTAATTTAATCCTAAAAATTATTTTTTTATCACAATTGACCTATAATTATTTCTATTTTTTGTAGTTTACTCCAAATCCTATACAATTACAAATTACAATTTGATGTTTATTAAAGGTGGAAAATAATTCACCCAAAAATGACCCAACCTGAAGTCTATTTGTACCCGGTAAGATCCGACTTGAATTTTTCCTGTCAATAACGTGATTTGAACGAGATCCAATTTGAATTCCATCCGAACCTGATATTTAACTGATTCGAGCTCAAATCGTTTTGACCTGAAATGATATTGATCGAACTAAAATTAACCTGACCCGAACTCGAACTGAATCTGATTTCAAATCAATCTGAAAATGATCCAAACTGAATTGACCCAGACTCGACCTTATCCAAGTCAGACCATTAAATTGACTTGATATAATATGTATCTGATCTAACCTGACCTAACATGATTTGTCCTGAAACTTGAAGGATTACTTGATTTCACATCAACTAAATATAAGATATTAGAGAAAATTTCCCAAGTCCTAACGTATCCAATCCATAGAAAATGCAAGTTGCTAGAATTAATTACTCTATAAAAAAATTATTATAATAAAATATTTTTTAATAATTTAAAATAATTATAAGATAATATTTATTTATAATATTTTTTAATTATTAACAACGCACATACATACATAACTACTTGAACTAAAGATCTCAAAAACAATATTCGTTTTAACCACCGAAACCATACATCATTGAAAAGAAAGCATTTGCTAATTTTTTTTATTTTAATGAAAACTAATAAATCAGAATTAGTGAAGAAGGCAAACAAGTTTAAAACTATATTAATGGATAAACAGTAGTAATCTCATTGCAAAAGGAATATATCTTAGGAAAAGATAATTGAGAAACTTAAGCCAAATAAAGGTATATATAACGTAAGTGGACTGTGTTAGATGAGAATTTGTACATTTATTCATTCCTCTTTCCCTTCAGCAGCATAGAGAGCTTTGATTTCTTCAACATCATCAAAGCTGCCAAGAAATATAGGAGACCTCTCATGTATCTTTGTTGGCACCAAGTCAAGTGCCTGCAAAAAATACGTGTCAGATAACTACGAATTGGGATATACATGATTTTATACAAGGAAAACAAACTTATAAAATTTAAAAAAAGGTTCACTTGTAAGATTTTAGGAGATAAAAATAAATTTTCAATAAAAAGAAAAAAAATCTAAAATATATAAGAATTTAAAATTTTTAAGGGCTTGAAAGATTCTAGTTTAAATACCCTTAGTTTTCCAGTGAACGCCTGACCTCCAGCTTGCTCCATCAAGAACGACATCGGAAACACCTCATAGAGAACACTGGTTCACACAATTTGTCCAAAGAGTCCGTAAGTAGTATAATAAAAGAATGTTATATAGGGACGGACACATGATTTTATGTTAAAAAAAACATATTATTAATAAAAAATACAAAGAAATATTTAAATTATATAAAAATTTTAATTTTTCAAGCCTACTGTGCCTCCCCTTGATCTATCCCTGGCTATTAGGGGTGGGAATAGGTCATGTAGGCTTTTAATAGGTCTGAGCCTGGCCTACAAAGAATTTTGTAGGCTTGAGTCTGGCTTGTAGTCAAATGTTTTTTTTTCGGCTCGGTCTAACATTTTTAAAAGTTAATTTGATTAAAAGTCTGACTGATTAAAAACTTATTTAAAGTCTCACAATAAATATTTAATATTTATTTTTACAAAAAAAAATAACACAGGTTAAACAAACATTTAATAAAACTTGCACTTCTCCGAGAGTAGAACTCATCGGGAAACATTTAATAAATTTTGACTTTGAAGGATAAGTGGTGTTATGCAATCGATAATCACCGCAGGCGTGGCACACCATCAAATGCTCCACTTTTGTTGTTCCCAAAAAAATTGCGTAGAGTATATATTAGCTACTGGGGTGGGGCATGGGTGGCTTATAATATATATATTAGTTGTTGTATATACTAGCTTTCTAGGCTTATAATATATTACAGCCTTATAACTATGTGGGAATTGAATTGGCAAGACCAATGTTGGTGTTCTTCACGTGGGAGCATGGGTGGCTGTATGGGGAGTTAAACCTTTGCTCGTGGGTGGTGCTTGGGCAGTAGGGTATGGCCGTTTGGCATTTTAAAATAATTTATGTAATATATTTTTTGGGTAAAAAATTATCGTACAGTGTATATACATATTTATATAGGCCGTCTATCAGACTTATAAGGTTTTATAATAAGTCTAAACTTGGTCTATTTAAGTTAATAGGATTTTAAAAAAAATCAAGCTTGACTTTTTTAACAAATAGGTTAGGCCAGATTTATAAGTCAGGTTGTAGGCCCTTGTAGGCCAGCTTGGCCTATTCCACCTCTATTGGCTATATCCATAATCGTATTTAACGTACCGTAATTTTCCATTGGGGCTCTTCTTATCTGCAGGGTACAAAAAGATGCCTCCATACAGTAATGTACGATGGACATCAGCTACCATGCTGTTCATTCATAAGCTCGGAATTGTTCAAACTTCAAACTGTTCAATGATGAATGATAGAATTTTAAGATAATTGCAGTAATGACAGATTAATCTATGATACCTTCCAATGTATCTCAGAGACTTGGAAGGGGACCCGTCCTTTGGGAATTTGCATTTTTCCACATACTTGGCCGTTGGACCATCCCAGTACTTAGCATTTCCTTCATTGACTGAATAGATCTTCCCCTTCTTTGGAATCTTCGACAAATAAATATGATAAAACCAATGCTTGTAAATTATTATACAGAATCAAAATGTGGATCCTATGATGTAAAACAACTAGAAATTGGACATAGAGAGCCATTTGATCATGTTTGCTGTGATGATCAAGAATGGTTTAAAGGCCTACAGAATTTGTTGTAATTCAAATTTCGTAGAACAAGCAAGAGTTAGTATCATGTGCAAGGCATATCAAAGAAAGCAAATAGAGTAAATAGCTAACGACACCAATTTTCCGAGGTCATAATGATAAAATTACTTCTCCAACGTTTGTTCAAATGATGACTTTGTCCTTTATTTTTTTAACATTTTAAACGTCAACGTTTTTATTTTTTGTCAAAGCAAACTCTGTTGGGTTGAAATTGTTAGTTGACTAATGGTTAACATATGTTAATGTGATATTTTTACATGTGTTTAATTGCTAACGTGACACATGCTACATTCACTTTGGGTGATGTGGTACATGTCACGTCATCACTTTGGGTGATGTGGCACATGCTGCATAAGCAATTACACACATGAAAATGTCATGTTAACAACATGAGTTTACTGTTAGTTAACTAATAATTTCCATCAAAAGTCTGTTTTGACAAAAAACTAAAATGTAACGGACTAAAATACTAAAAAAAATAGGAAACAAAGTAATCATTTTTGCAAACGCTGAAGTAATTTTGTCATTATACCTTTTCCAAAATACCTTGATATCAGGGTGAGTAAGTATGAACTCTCCAAGAGATGGATCAAGGGTGAAACCATTAACTCCTTCGCCGGTGCTCAAAACAAGCTGCAATACCAACACATTCAAGTGTTAAGTATCTCAAAGGATAGAAATGATGGTAGCAAAAGCAAAGGAATATGTAAACAAGTAAGCATAATACCGTGCAAGAGCTTCCATACATGCAATAGCCAGCTGCCAGCATTTGTTTCCCCGGTTGCAGTACATCATCCAGAGTTGGTTCATGGCTATCTTTCATCATGTAAATCCCAAAAATCTAAATCAAACAGAACACATTCAGTTGATCACTGCAATATCAAGTTATCTTAGAACAACAGATTACCCCCTAAGAACAAAATATGAAGATGCATTTTGGGATGGGGACCCATACTGTTCCAATTGATACTCCACAGTCAATGTTAGAGGAGCCATCCAGTGGATCGAAAACAACACAGTACCTGAATTATTGGAGATAAATTAATATCAATTTTGCATGAGGAAAAATCTTATATGCACACATTTAGTTAGTTTGGGGTGAGTAAAAATCTACTCGGCTCGAAAAAATGATTTTTTTAAACTTAACTCAACTCGGATAATCTTGAGTTATAATTTTATTAATTCGACTCGACTCAAAAAATCTCAAATTCTAGTCGAGTTATAAAATATAACTTGAATAACTCAAATTTTTTGATAATTAGTGAATTGATTTTCAAGTTTGACTCAAATCGATCAACTATGTATGATATATGTATATAATAAAAATATGAAAAAATATATATACAATATTATATACTGTTATAAAAAACCGTTTAAATTAGAGTCAAATAATATCACAATATTATACATATTTATAATTAAATTTAAATAAAAATTCAAATAACTTCGCTCGGCTTGAATTTTATAAATTCTACTTAATTTTTTTTTTTAAATTTGAGTCAAGTTATATAATATAACGTCAAAATTTCTAAACTCGACTTAATCGAAAATATAACATGAGCAACATTATGAAAGACAATTAAAACACCTCCCACGCTTTGAGGGCTCCACAAAAGTTGCCTCTTCATCTTCTTCGGATACAAGGATGCACTGGTAATAACATGATAATATGTTTGAGAGAGAAATCTGAGAAATATAAACATCCCTAATGTTTACTAAAAGGGATATCAAAACTACTCACCGTTTTGCCACTGCTTACTAAAGCCTTGACAAAAACTTCATTTGAAAGCACATCCAGTTTCTTTTGCTCTTCACCCTTTAGTCAAAATAGATTGAGTTACTCAGTATGAAATATATATAGAAATTGTTCACTTGGAAATATTCCATGACTACTTGCCTGAACATTCGTCTCCCCGGCGAGTCCAATGAGTTTGGCAAGGCCAGCCTGCACCAGTAAACGTAAAACAGAATACAACAGATTACAACTTGTTTGAGGGAAAAGAATTAAAAGAAGAAAGACCTTGTTAACAGCAGTGCAGACAAACTTGCAACCAAGAACGATGTGGCTAAGCAAGATGGTGAAATCCCCACGAGACTCGGGATACTTGGATTGTTCGTTCAACACGTAACGTGTTATGGTCATCAAATCTGTCCTGTGAGCATCTGCTGCATGGTCCATCTTTCTTCTCCACCCAAAACAAAAACAAATGCAAGAGCTTGAAAAAGAATAAAGTGACCCAGTAAAGCAGCAGCAACAAAGAAAAATGATTTATATTGTTTTATTAATATGTTTAAGAAATCAAGGAGAGGTTGTGGTCGCTTTATTCGAGGTGCAGAGTGGATAAAGATTGTTTGAGGAGGACAGTAGCCAGTGAGTGATTGGTGGAGGGAGGGTCTATCTGCTGGAAATGGAAGTTTCGGGTGTCACGTGGACGGACCAGAGCAAGGAAGCGAGGGAGTGGTCGTTGTGAAGATAAGGATTTAAGGATTCTGTTTCCTCGTCCTTTTCTTACAAGTTATAATTTTTTTTTCTTGGGTGAAGATAGTGTTTTGTTTGAGTTTATCTATTATTAAAGTTATTAAATTATTGTTTGCTTATACAATATTTATTTGTATTATTTTATTAAATTATCGATTATTAAAAATTATAAAATAATTATTTGATTATTTATATATTTTAAATTTATTATTTTTATTAAAAAATGATGATTGTTGTTGGACGTTAATCAATTGATTTAGATATAATAAAATATATTTTAATGATATCAATTGACAGTGTCGTTGTTTTCAAACATTAACTCAACGATATAATGTTTTAAATTCTAGCTCGTCGATATAATGTAAACGGAGAGCCGATTTACAAAATGTAGCTTAAATAACTATGAGATTAGATTTTATTATATCTAAATCAACATGTCAACATCCATATTAAATAACCTTCAATTTTAACAAAAAAAAATAACGAGTTTAAAACATATTAATAGTTTTGTGATCATTTTATAATTTTTCATAATTAAAGGACTCAACAAAGATAACATTCTCTAATAAGAGATCATTTTATAACTTTCAATAGTTGATGTACACAAACAAAAGAATACCGTATAATCATTGTTTTGAAAACCAGACCGGACCGGCCGGTTCAACCGGGAACCGTTGCCTAGTCCGGTTCAATCTAAACCGGTTGAACCGCTACTAGTGAACCGGCCAAAACCACTGAACCGTTCAAACCGGACCAGCTGAAAAACCGAAATTTTGTTTTTTTAAAAAAAATTAAACCAAACGTCGTTTGTTAAACGAGCCAAGTCGAACTCGAGTATTGCTGAGCTCGACTCGAACTTGAAAACTTTAAAAGTAAGCTCAACTCCACTCAAACTCACAACTTAAAAATTATCAAGTTTAACTTAAACTCAAAATAGAATATTGAAACTTGAACTCAAAAAGGCTTGAACTAAAAAAAAATTTAGAAGCTCAATTGAAGCCTAAAATTCGAGTTTGATTGAAGTGAAAGAATAATTCACTCAATGCTCACCAAAAGACTCCATGATTTTGAATGTCAAATTACTTCTATTATTTATAAAAGTTAGTTGTGATGCTCTTCTATGTTTCTTAGCAATGTGGGATTGTTTTGTTCTCATATTTTTACTCTTTAGACTTTTGGGATGCTCTTCTATGTTTCTTAGTCATGTGGGATTATTTTTTTTAAAAAAAATTAAACCAAACAATATTATTTTGTTATGATTTTTTTAGCCCCAAATTTATTTTTTAATTATAGTTATAATTATTTATTATTTAATATGTTTTACCTTAAATATTATGTTGTAGTTAATTTGAATCATTTTGTTTCACTTGATTTATGATTTTTAATTTATATGTTATAACTACTTTGAATATGTGATATAAAAAATTATTTTTTATTAATATTTTTGGTATTTTTATTTAATTTTTTAAATAATTATGACGTCGTCTAGTTCTTCCGACCGGTCGGACCGGTTCGACCGGTTAAACCAATGAACCGGTAACATGTCCGGTTCGCTAACCGATCCGGTTCTCAAAACCATGCGTATAATCGAAAAACATTTGTGTACTTCACCTTATTTTTTTTCCTTTTAGTCGTGATTTTAGCGAGGCGCACAAGGTAACACCGAGGTTTGTATGAAACTAACACCCTCTGGGTGAACCATTAAGCACTCGAGCTATGCTCGAAGTAAAATATTAAATTGAAAAATATTGTCTCTAAGCGTGAAGAAATCCCAACATATTTTGCATTCAAATTTTGTTCGTGCATCCTTGTTATCGGCGGGAAAATAGTTTGCATTCAAATTTTCAATAAGCATGAATATTGATTCGTTGACTCTGAAATCATTAATTAAGTTTATATTTCACTATAAAAGTTTAAGGAAGTAGTTTCCTTATTTTCGTTATGAATAAGCGTCGGGAGCAAGGACACTTACATAAATTTATGTTAGACGTATGAATTTAAAAAGTTATACTAAAATTTTTTAAGGGCTATAAAATTCTAAAATTTTAGAGAGTGAAATTAGATGATCAATAAAAATTTAAAAAAACTTAAATTATAAAAGAATTTAAAATTTTTTAGGGATGCGACCACACCCTGACACCCCCTCAATTCATCCCTAGTTGAGAGTAATGTGATGGCGGAAACAAATGATAAACATATAGATTTATTTTGATGAATTTAGATATTTAGTGTTAATGTTTTTATGGATTCAAGGAGAAATTGCCCTGAGGTTTGTTGTTCATAGAGGAAGCAAGTTGACCAACTTGATTCTCAAGGCACGACTAGAAAGAACTCCCTTGAATGATCGCCTCAGTCCGAGTGATATGCTCCCTCATTTGAGCTTCTAATGAGGCCAACGAGTTTGAGTTAGAGGATTGTTAGTGATTAGATTAACTTGATGTGGTTACGTCATAGTGCTGAAATTGATGGGAATGTGGTTGCATTCTTTGTTACGACTACCTTTGATAGGTTGATTGTGCCTGTGTTGGTAATTGATTGTAAGATTGTTGCGTGTATTACTGTAAGAATTGCTGTTGTGGCCAACTATAACTATTTGGGCTTTGAACAATGCTACTCAAAGGTTGGCTCTCAAATCGTTAGCATTAGATTGTTGCACAAAGCTTGATTTGATTAGATTAACTTGATGTGGTTACGTCATAGTGCTGAAATTGATGGGAATGTGGTTGCATTCTTTGTTACGACTACCTTTGATAGGTTGATTGTGCCTGTGTTGGTAATTGATTGTAAGATTGTTGCGTGTATTACTGTAAGAATTGCTGTTGTGGCCAACTATAACTATTTGGGCTTTGAACAATGCTACTCAAAGGTTGGCTCTCAAATCGTTAGGCATTAGATTGTTGCACAAGAGCTTGATTTCACCAAGTAGATTGGTTGCGGTTGAAAGCACTGTTCCCATAATTGTTGTTAGAAGCATTCCCTCTTAGGTTGTTGACAAAACAGACATTCTCCATATGTTAGGGACAATCCTCATAACTTTGATTATCGTCGCATATCTCGCAACTGAAAACTAGAGTCTCAATTTACTTAGTTGTCTGAATAGGTACTCCCTTAGAAGTGCTATGTATATTCTTGATGAAATTTATAAGAGTAGAGACCTGAGCACCAAGAGTTGAGATGGTGTCCAACTCAAGGACACCTGAAGAGCATCTGTTTGTGGCTGTCCTAGAGATAAGGTATTGATAATCATTTTGGATCAGACACTCCAAAACATCAACAACATCATTATATGTACAATCCAACAGTGGACCATTGGCAAAGGCATCCATAATGTTCCTCGTCTGTGCATTCAACCCATTGTAGAAAATTTCAGTATGAGTTTCTGGCTGAAGACCATGTGTAGGACATCTACGTAGTTAATCTTTAAAACGCTCTCATGTAGTATGGAAGTTCACATCATCAGCCTGCTAGAAAGAAGTCATATCATTTCGTAACTTCGCATTCATTATGGATAGGTTGAACCTGAGCACAAACTGTGTCATCAGCTTATTCCATGACGTGATGGATCCAGTAGGTAGGCCTAAGAACCATGTTCTCGCTCTACCATGCAAATAACATAGAAATAATTGCATCTTTATGGCATCATCCGGAACCCCTTGTGAGAATGAAACACTAATAACAAGAAAAGATTTAATGTGCTCTCTAACATCCTCATGTAGTTGACTAACATATTGTCCATTTGAGTTTAGCATCTGAAACATGTCCGATTTTAATTCAAATTTGTTTGCTTGGGTGGCCCGTCGCACCAGGCCCGGTCATGACATTTTAAGGGTCTTAGGCCAGAAGGTGATGACAAGAAGACAAGTGGGGACCATACCTAGATTTCTTCATCATTAAAATGTGCCCCCACTAAATTATTATATTTTCGAGTTTTTTAAATAAAAAATAATGTTTAAAATATTTTTTAATTATTAGAACCCACTAAATTACCATATTTTTAAGTATTTAAAATAAAAAAATATGTTTAAAAATATTTTTAATTATTAAATTTAAAAAATATTTTAAAAATAGGTCCCCTCCAAGCTTGAGCCCTAGGCGGTCGCCCCCTGGCCTGCCCAGGGCCGGCCCTGGGTCGCACGACCTCAGCTTGCAAATCATCAAGAACAGGGAGAACAAAATTGCAAATCAGTCGCTGCGCCATCTCTCGACGAGCTCAAGCTTGCGCTTGTCTTTGTTGGTTGAAAGATTACTCCTGGTCATGCACTATGATTGCAACAATTGTCACTGTGAGAGAACAAACAAAGAGAATAGAAAAAATTAAACAATTAATGAAGCATAATTTATATACCAAGCATAACAAATATTCACATCTATCGAAGCTCACTACCCAAGCATCATTCCCTTCCGGGCTTTATACTACAACTAAAGTGCCCACATCTTACCCAACTTCCGTTGCACAACAACAGTGACTTCTGCCAACACGGATGCGATTTAGGTCGGAGTAACGCTACTTCCGCAGTCATCACGCCCTCAAAATCAATAGATATAAACAAATACTAGAAGACTTAATATATATCGCAAAAACAAGAGTATTCACAACACAAATTGTTGGTTTTGGTGTACCGCGTTCCCCACGGGCGGAGCACTCATAGGAGGGCTAAACTTGGTAAACCTAGGATCCTCTGGAAGAACTTACATGGAGCGACAACTGATGACTTTAGGAGTAAGGTTTTGTCTAATACAAGTTTTGAAACTACAAACTCAAAAAATGCAGATATGTTATGGAAAAATATGGCAAATTCCATCAGAGATGTTGGCAAAAAATACCCTTGGGTTGTCGACGGGGAAGGCCAAGGAACATAAAGAATCGTGGTGGTGGAACGACGAAGTCCAAAACTAAGGTGAAGACAAAACAAACTTGCTTCAAGGAGTTTCTACAATGCAATGACGACGAAGAAAGGTCGAGAGCTAAACAAAGATACCAGGAGGCAAAGCGGGAAGCCAAGAAAACGGTAGCTAAAGCAAAGGATAAGGCATACGAGGAAATGTACAAGAGATTAGACACCAAGGAAGGACAAAATGGCATCTTCAGACTTGCAAAATCTAGGGAGATTAGGAAAAAGATCTAGGAACATTAGGTTTATTAAGGACAACAATGGTGTTCTTTTAGCGAAAGATCACGATATTAAGAGAGTTTGGGGTAGTTACTTCTTTGGCTTATTTAATGACGGTGCCTCTCCATGTAGAGATAGTATCGTTGATGGGTTAGCCAACTATCATACTACGGCCAATGACTGCCCTACAAGTAGGATTAGGTTTGAGGAAGTCAAAATGGCTCTTAGAAAGATGGGAAGGGACAAAGCTGTCGGTCCTGATCAAATTCCTATCACTGTGTGGTTGGCCCTAGGAGAAGAGGGAGTTAAGTGGTTGACCAACATCTTTAATATTATTTTAGAGACTGCCAAGATGCCAGAGGAGTGGAGAGAGTCTACGGTGATACCAATCTATAAAAATAAAGGAGATCCCCAACGTTGTGGTAACTACAGAGGTATTAAACTCCTCAGCCATACCATGAAGCTATGGGAAAGGGTGATAGAGGCTAGGTTGAGACAAGTTACTAGGGTTTCGGAAAACCAATTTGGCTTTATGCCAGGCAGGTCTACCACGGAGGCGATTCATCTACTTCGACGGCTTATGGAGAAATATAGGGAAAAGTCTAGAGATCTTCACATGGCGTTCATTGACCTTGAGAAGGCTTATGATAGTGTTCCCCGCGATACGATCCGGAAGACTTTGGAAACGAGACGGATCCCAACTGCTTATATCCGGGCGATTCGTGATATGTACTGTAGATCTAGTACTTACGTCAGGACTACAGTTGGCGACACCGAGGCATTCCCGGTGGAAAACGGACTCCACCAGGGGTCGGCTCTTAGCCCTTACATCTTCGCCTTGATTATGGACGACATCTATTGTGCGACACCAGACGGTGTACCATGGTGTATGCTTTTCGCTGACGACATTGTCTTAGTTGCTGAAACAAAATCTGAGTTGAATAGTAGACTGGCTACCTGGAAGACTGCTTTGGAAGAAAAAGGTTTAAGGATCAATATTGAAAAGACAGAGTATTTATGTTCAAACTTCAATGGGAACCAAAACGATGAAGATATAGAAGTATGCATAGAAGGACACGTTCTCCCCTCAAAGGATTGTTTCAAGTACCTAGGGTCTATGATACAAAGATGGGGGTGTAGATGATGACGTTACACACCGTATAAAGGCGGGATGGCTAAAGTGGAGGGCCGCTACTGGAGTTCTGTGACAAGAAGGTCCCTCTAAAACTTAAGGAAAATTTTATAGAATGGCAATAAGACCAGCGCTGTTGTATGGATCAGAATGGGGCACCAAGAAGGATCACGTAAGGAGGATTGAGGCCGCAGAAATGAGAATGCTTCGATGGACATGTGGTAGGACTCTGAGGGATATGACGACAAACTCTGCTATTAGGATGTCCTTGGGGGTGGTGTCTGTTTCCGAAAAATTGAGGGAGGGAAGACTAAGGTGGTTTGGGCATGTCCTTAGGCGACTACCGTCGGATGCGGTAAGGAGGGTAGAGTCGATTACAGTCGACGGTGCCAGAAGGAAAGGACGACCAAAGCGAAAGTGGGAAGACTGCTTGAGATCTGATTTGAGGGATTTAGCCCTTACCGAAGACATGACCTCTGATAGGAAAATATGGAGGCTAAAGACTAGGGTAGTCGAGTAGTGTGGGTCACATCTATAGGGTGTATCATCTCTGTCTTCTTTTAATGTCTTTGTAGTATTTCCATGACTTTTTATACGTTTCTGTTATTGGTATTTATGAAGGATTAGAACTGGGTTGCTAACGTTGACTGCTGTGTATCATTCTCTTCATGTTTCCTCTTTTAAATTAGCCGGATCTTGTTTCTGTCTATATGCAGAGATTCTTTCGCAGGGATTATTATGCAGGGATTAATTCCCGTTACAGACGCACATATGATTTTAATGACTGCATATGAATACTGTTTAGCTATGTATTTATGTATTTATTTATACATGCATTGCATTTTTTCTAAATTTTTTAATTTTCTGACTGCCGGAGGTCTTCCACGGAAGCTACTCTCAACCTGGCGTTGGGGGTAGCCTACTACCCTACCTCCCTCTTACCCCATACATATGGGAATTGGGTTTTGTTGTTGTTGTTGTTGAAGAGTATTCAAAGTTAACTTCCATCAAACAATAAATACAAACACTTAATAGTAAAAATATATAAAATAGAAGAGTTCAAGCAAGAATTAACTAAAACAACCCATATCCTTATGTAGCTACTCGGCATTGATCTTGGCTTGCTCGACCGGTGTTCTCCACAACTGCTTATGCTGTCAGTGGTGGTTTAGGTGATCTTCAGAGGTGCTCCTTACGGTAGTTTAGCACGCCATGGCCTTGGCTTAGGTTTAGGTGATCTTCAAATGTGCTAATTTTATTGAAACTCTTCATAATTCACTTGACGAGTTCCAAAATACTGTAGTAAATGTCATAGATCAATACTATATTTTAAAATACTTTTAACGCCATTCATTATTGCGCTAATTTTACCATTGAATTTAAATTTTTTTTATAAAATGTCACATAATTTATGTTTTATTTTTCTAAAAAATAAAGTTAAATTTAGGGTAAACTATATATTTAATCATCCAACTATCATTTTGCTTCCGTTTTGGTCACCCAATTATTTTTTTAAAAATATACCTAACGTTACGTTTGATTTCCATTTTGATCACTTACCGTGAAAAATAAATAGAACTATTAATGTGACATTTTTATTTTTCTTGTCGAATGATGATGTGAGATTACTTTATGGTACACATCAACATTTCCTTTATTTTTTTAAAGACGAGTGATCTAAACGTAAGGTTAGGTATATATATATTTTAAAAATAATAGTTAAATGACCAAAACGAAACCAAGATGATAATTGAGTGAGTAAATATGTTGTTTACCTTTAATTTTTTTAGCACGTTACTTTTTGAGTGAGCAAACTCGACTCGACTCGACTCGAAAAATCGATTTTTTCAATTTTGAGTTATTTGAGTCAACTCGAATTATAAATTTGGTTTTCAAGTTCGAGTCGGTGAATTTTCAAGTTACTTGAAAAATAAAAAATTTGACTAAGTATTTTGAGATTTCATTATTTCTTTATTTCCTCCTCCATTTTAAGTCCATTTTTTTACCAAATTTGAACCACATACTTTTAAACCATAGTAGAATACATGTGTACCTTCAATTTCTCATTTTGATAACAATTTGTTTTTTCAATTTAGTCCTTCAATTTTTCATAATCTCTTTATTTATTCAGTTCATCATGTATTTTAAGTCTGTTTTTATGAAATTTGAGCTACATGCTCCTAAACCATAATAGAATACATGAGTACTTTCAATTCCTCTTTTTGATAACAATTTTTTTTATTTTTCAATT